ACATCCAGAATATATAAAGAACTCAAAAAAAAAAAGGGGGGGAGATCAAGAAAGGAAGTAACTCAATTAAAAGACAGGCTAAGGAGCTGAACAGAGAATTCTTAAAAGAAGAAATAAAGATGGCTAAGAAGCATCTTAAAAGACGTTCAACATCATTAGTAATTAGGGAAATGCAAATTAAAACCATTTAAAGATTTCATTATACCCCAGTCAAACTGGCTAAAATCAATAGAACAAATGATAGCAAATGTTGGAGAGGCTGTGGGGAAAGGGGAATGCTCATCCACTGTTGGTGGGATTGCAAACTTGTTCAACCCCTATGGAAAGCAGTATGGAAAACTCTTAAAAAACTACAAATGAACCTACCATTTAACCCAGTTATACCACTCCTTGGCATATACCCAAATAACTCATCCTATTGCAGAGACATTTGTACATCCATGTTTGCTGCTGCTCTTTTCACAATAGCTAAGAGATGGAAACAACCTAAGTGTCCCTCAATTGACGAGTGGATAATGAAAACGTTGTGCATTTATACAATGGAGTTTTACTCAGCAGTAAAGAAAGATGAAATCATGAAATTTGTAGGTAAATGGGAACTAGAAACTGTTATACTAAGTGAAGTAACACAGACTCAGAAAAAACAAAACAAAACCACACAAGCCCCCCAAACCCGACATACGTTCTCCCTCATATGTGGATCCTAGCACCAGATCCTTATAAGTGACTGTGTATCCAGACACAACTACAGGTACCAGGATAATGAAAAGGAACCAAGGAGGTAAAGGAAAAGAAAGAATCTGAAAGAGAATAGGAAACAGGCATTAATAAGGGAGAGATGGATAAAAATGGGGTTATTTTAAGCGGAGAGGGGAGGGAGGGTTATGCAAGGAACCTTGGGGATACAGGGAAAGAAGGAACTCAAGAGAGGTGGCAAAATAGGAGAAGGGTATTAACGGAGAAATGGGAAAAACGGAGGCACTCAAAATGGGAAACCATGTTGGAAGGGTTAGACAATGCGAGAGATAAATAATGCCTAGCTACTCAAAAAAAAAAAAAAAAAAAGGGAATCATATTAATTGAACAACCTATTGACAAATTATACATACAACTAGCTCAGGGAATATAATACATGTCTAGGCAAGGTTTATCTGAGTTTGTTTGGTCTTTGCCCAAGCTTTATCTATATAGCACATGGAAATTAAAAGTACCAGAGTGGTGGAACTAACCTTCTTGGATGTCTAACAGGCATACTTTGAGGCCTATATTAATTTGGTCAGAGGGACACAAAGGACAGTTTTTGCTCCTTGCCCTCCTAGGTCGACTAAGCACCAGGGGACTATGAACCTCTCTCAAAATGTCCTGTAACTGTGGTGTGTTACCTGTCCTCTTGATCAAGGAGGCCATGAAGACCCCACCCAATGGACTTGAATCAGTGTCCAGTCTACATGGAGGAGGGTCAACACATAGGAAACATTTTCTCCATGCTTCCAAGTGAAGCCATATACGGTTGAGCAGGACCTTTGCCTTTTCTTCACATAGATGGAAGTGGTAAAAGAAAGGAGTCAGGGGCTCCTCCCAAGCCCATGTGACCCCTGAGGAACAGATCCTCAAATGACCTTAAGAGTAAAAATAAATTGGTTTATCTAGGCCAACTGTATGGTCTTAAACACCCAAAAGGAAAGTATAACCAAAAATTAAAGGGATCAATGTAATCTTTAAGAGTCCACGTGTATAGCTAAAAGCTGCATAACAAGAAACAATGCCAGACAGGAGATACCTTCCTTTGAGTTGCTGGCCCGGGTAGCCCAAGAGACTCACAGACAGTAACCCAGCATAGAACTGGGAAAATGAACAGCAGACCCCAATCTTATCTAAAGGAATACTGGCAACTGCTGGCTTCTAGATGAGGAAGAGCTGATCTTCCTAAAACAAGGAACTCTAGATAGGCTGACTAGATTCAGTGGATAGACAAGCGCTGGATAATGGCTGGGGGCACTGACAACACAGTGGACAGTAACAGGGATTACAGAGTACATGGGCTCCAGTGTGGAGGGGTAGACTATGGGACGGTGCCATTTTGGATGTGGGTATATAGATGAATAAGATTGTTTGGGATGTTCTGTATGAAATACACACAAAAAAATCAACAAATTTTTAGATGAGTTGTATT